TCGTCACGTCATCATCATTCTCATTGTTGTCTGATGATCATAATCATCCTTACTGTCATCGATCGTTGTAATTATCACCATCATTATCATCACATCATACTCATCCATCGTCATCGTCCTCATCTTCATCACATCCTCATCGATCATCTATCGTCGTTTTCATCCTCATAATCTTCATCCTCCTCATCCTTCATCATTTTCTTCATCATCATACTCATCATCATATTCATCCTCATCAACAACCATTATCATCAATCATAATCATCATCATCCTTATCTTCATTATCATCAAACTTATCATCCTAATCCTCCTCCTCATCATCATCCATCATCAATCATCATCTACCTCATCATCTTCCTTTTCCTCATGAACTGCATCATCCTCATCCTCCTCATCATCATTTTTATCTTCATCACCATAATCATAATCATCATTACCATCACCCTCATTAATATCGTCATCCTCATCATCTTCCTGATTACTGTCATCATTATCAACATTACCATCATCATTTTCATCATTATCCTCTTCATCATCAGTCACCATCATCATCATGAGGATGATGATGAGGAGGGGGACGAGAATGAAGAGGATGAGGATGAGAGGGATGATTCTCATCATTCATTATCATCATTCTCATCAAACATTTTCTATCATTCTCATCACCATCATCACAATCATTATCATCAACAACCATTATCAACAATCATAGTCACCATCATCTTCTTCCTCACCATCATCCTAATCATCTTTCTTCTCCTACTCATGATCAACATCCTCCTTATAATGGGGATTATAATGAGGATGGGGATGACAATGAGGAAGATGATATATATGATCAATAATAATGACATCAGTATAGTAAGAATAACAGTACTAACGCTGATATTAATGTGAATTATAAACTATAATTTTTTATTTAAAACGCATCAGAATAATTATATAAAGTTCTATGTGACCCAAGACCATAAAAGGGCTGTAAACTCGTACTCTATCAAAATGGATTTTTAATGTAAATGAATAGAACACATCATTAACTTTATAATAAGGGGTCATTGACCTTAATCAGACAATTATGTGTAAAGTTAAGCTATTTTGCATTATAGTTATTCTCTATAAACTGGCCTATGACGTTTTGAGCAAAATGGCTTTATAAGTACTGAAGAAATTGAAGAAAAATCACAGCAGCAGTCAAAGAAACTCCTTAGCAACAACACAGTTCCCATTGAGCTATTGCGATGAAATTTTCTACAGTTTGCTGGAAATAGGTTGGGGAATAGAGATCTTCTATTTTTAAGTCGATACCCCATCTATGTACTTATTATGGCATCCCCGTTGTTCTGATGAATTTAGTAGACATAAGAAGTGTTTTATTCGTCAAGCCTTGATGGAGAAAGTGTTTCGTCAGGGTGTGAATGAAAAGGGGACGGGATGGGGTTACGGGGGGTTTGGATTATTTTTTGTTTAATTTATAAACATTAACTACAACATTTTCAGAATTAAGCAAGTATTTACATGTGAAATTATCAGGATTTCTTTGTTGCAAGCTACATTGTAGCATCGGAAGGTGGTAAACAATCTGATTCGAACTACTGGTTCCATCATGTATGTTTTTCATTATGTATGAAACACATACCGTACTCAACACCAAATTAGATTATTAAATTAAATTATATTATATTATTATTCCATAATAATGGAATATATATATATATATATATATATATATATACAGTATATATTATTGATATTATTTTAATATTTTGACATACATCATGAATTGCCTCACAGCAAGAAGATCATTTTTTTTTTAAACAAGACATGAATCGCTTCGTATCTTTTGAATAACTTCAAGGTTATTTTCTTCATTCAATAAAGATAGTCCGTACCATGGTGCTATGATCTAGAAAAACTTTTGAAAATATATTTCTAAAGCAATTGTAATGTCGACACGCATGTTATTGTTTGATGCTTTAAAGTTGTTTGACTATTTTGTACACGATTTGATTGACGTTGTGTGAATATACTTCATCAATACGTTTTAATTTCACATCGCTTAAAAATAGTGCAGATGATCGTTCTGTTGGCGTCAATTTTTTTGAAGATTCAATAACCACTACTAGTTTCTTAACATGTACTCACTCGCAATCTGTATAATTTCTCATCCGCTTCACTGCCAGACGGGAAGAGGATTGTTGTCCAAATCTTTTTCAACAAGTCATGAAACAGTTTAGTATTATTTGAATTAATTCAAGGCTATTTCCTTCATTTATGTATACACTTTAAAGTTTGTTCAACTATTTTGTACACGATTTTGAATGAC